TTTAATGCATGTGATGCTTTAATGTGACAGCGTGATGCTGTTAGTGAGCTTCTATGCGCTAGCTGATGTTTGGCTGTGTAGCCGCGTGATGCGGTTCCAGTCAATACCCACTAATTGACCCTTGCTCACCATAGAGTCTCCTGTAGCTCAGTGGTTAGAGCATCCGACTAGATCACGGAGGGTCGTGGGTTCAAATCCCATCTGGAAACTCGATTTTTAAAAATTGTTTATTTCATCTTTACATGCTCACTTTGGAGGCTGGTTGGCTGCATGTGATGCTTTAATGCATGTGATGCTTTAATGTGACAGCGTGATGCTGTTAGTGAGCTTCTATGCGCTAGCTGATGTTTGGCTGTGTAGCCGCGTGATGCGGTTCCAGTCAATACCCACTAATTGACCCTTGCTCACCATAGAGTCTCCTGTAGCTCAGTGGTTAGAGCATCCGACTAGATCACGGAGGGTCGTGGGTTCAAATCCTATCTTTAAAAAGAATTAATTTGGGGTTGTTTACACCTACTTTTTGGAAAACCGTGTTTTCACGGGGTGTTGAGTAAGAGCTGACCCAAATTTCTCAGGGAGCATCGGGTATCAAGCAATTTTTAGTGTCTTCTTGCAGATTTCAACACAATCTATTGAAAAAAATTGGTTTGGGGGTTTTTACAGATACTTTTTGAAAAACTGCGTTTTCACGGCAAGGTGAGCAAGATGACCCCTTTAACTCTCTGGCCAGATTTTGCAGGAAACATCAGGTATCAAGCGAATTTTAGTGTTTTCTGACAGATTTCAAGAGAGTCTGGAGTTGTTTGCAGATACTCTTTCCAAAACCGCCTTTTTAGCGCGATTTGAGCAAGACTTGACCCATTTCACTCTCTTGCCAAATTTCGCAGGAAACATCGGGTATCAAACGAATTTTTAGTAAATTGTTACAGTTTTCAAGACAATCTATTCAAAAAAATTCCTTGGAGTTGTTTGTAGATACTCTTTCCAAAACCGTGTTTTAGCGCGAGTTGAGCAAGACTTGACCCATTTCACTCTCAAATTTCGCTGAAAACATCGGGTATCAAGCGAATTTTAGTGAATTCTTAGAGTTTTCAAGACAATCTATTAAAAAGAACTTGGTTTGCAGTTGTTTGCAAATACTCTTTCCAAGACTGCGTTTTCTCGCCAAATTTCGCAGGAACCTTGGGGTCTCAAGCAAATTTTAGTGTTTTCTTATAGATCTCAAGACAATCTAGTGGAAAACTTTGATTTTGGCTTGTGTGCAGATACTTTTTGTAAACCCGCGTTTCAGCGAGGGTTGAGAAAGACTTGAGACAAATTACGCAGGAAACATCAGTTATCGAGCAAATTTTAGTGTTTTCTTACAGATTTCAATGCAATCCAGTCAACAAATTGGACTTGGGTTGTTTGCAGATAGTTTTTGCAAAACCGTGTTTCCAGCGTGAGTTTAGAAAGACTTGGTGCAGACTCAGGCCAATTTTTACAGTTTTCAAGATAATGTATTCAAAAAATTGGTTTGGAGTTGTTTGCAGATACTCTTTCCAAAACCGTATTTTCAGCGCATGTTGATAAAGACTTGACCCATTTCACTCTCCTGCCAAATTTCGCTGAAAACATCGGGAATCAAGGGAATTTTTAGTGAATTCTTAAAGTTTTCTAGACAATCTATTAAAAAAAAATTAGTTTGGAGTTGTTTGCAGATGTTCTTTCCAAAACCGTGTTTTCCGCTTGAGTTGAGAAAGAGTTGACCCATTTCACTGTCTCGCCAAATTTCGCAGGAAACATCGGGTATCAAGCAAACTTTAGTCTTTTCTTACAGATTTCAA